TGATGATGTCACCACTTTTTATTATCCTTGTATTAGACTAGACTACTACTTATGTTCTACTTTGTTTATTTGTAATGTGCTCCATATTTAGTGGTAAAGTACTCATAAAAAGCAAAGAGTGCTAAAAAGAGAAGTAAACGTACCATAAAACGAAAAGAAAAAGATAAAAAAGAAAAGGTACGAAAAGAGTTAACTGGTATACATTGTTAAGAATGCGCTAGCTGGAAAACACAAGAAATCAGCAGTCTGCCGAAATCCTTGGCAGCCAACTGAAAACTGGGTTTTCAGTTAAACTCATCCGAAATCCAATTCTCTCTTCTCTTAGCACAAAACAGTTAAACAAAAGACCAACTTGCAGTCAAAATAACAATTTGATGAAAAGTAAATTTATAAGAGATTTTTATCACATTTTAAATTTCTTATAAATTTATTTTACTAAAAGCAAGTGTTCATTATTTTGTAAGGAAGCATTGAAATATCACTCAGCTTTATACTAGTTTCCACGCGTAAGAAATAAAAACACTAAGGACATGTTTACTTCACGGGTTACTAAACGGTGCTTACTGAGATCCGCGTTAATAAGCGGCGCATAAAATAAACAACATTGTAAGATCGTGTTTACTTCAAAAGGTTTAAAATATCGTTTAGCATTAAAATGTCCAAAATAACCCTATACATATATAGACACACAAACATTCATGAACACAAGTATTATGTGTACCCATACCCCCAACCCCTTACCCCCACCCTACCTTACCCCAACCCCACCCTATACCCCCTAGGCCCTTACCACCCCACCCCTACCCCTACCACATCAGCTCCACCCCGACCCCACCCTAACCTACCATACTCCTACCCTACCATACCCTACCTTACCTTGACCCCACCACTACCCCGTCCTCGACCCCGCCCCTACCCCTAGGCCCTTTCCACCGCACTTACCCCCCTAACCCCCTACCATAACACCATATCCTACCCTAATCCTACCCATACCCTACCCTACCCCGACCCCAGGCCCCTACTCCTACCTTACCCCAACCCCGACCCCACCCTACCCATAATCTCCCATCCTTACCCCTAACCACGACCCAACCCCACTCAATACACCACTTGCCCCTACCTCGGCCCCACCCCGATCTCAACCCCAACCCCACCCCACTCTACCCCACCCCTACCACCCTTACCGGATGCTCCTACCTTGGCTCCACCCAGATCCTGGCCCACCCTACCACCATCCCACCCCACGTAGGGTGGGGTCGGAGGTGAGACCGACATGGTAGGGGGTTGGGTTAGGTGCTAAGGGGGGTAAAGGGGTTAGGGGTGGGGTCGGGGTGGTGCCAATGTGGTAGTGGTAGGGTGTTGGGGTAAGGGTGGTTAAGGGCCTAGGGGGTAGGGTAGGGGTGGGGTCGGGTAAGGTAGGGTAGGACAGGGTGGGGTCGGGGTGGGCCCCGCTAGGGTAGGGTGGTAATGGCATGGGGTAGGGGTAGGGTGGGGTCAGGGTTAGGGCCAATGTGTTAGGGCGGTATGGTAAGGGGCCTAAGAGGTTGGGGTGGGGTCGGGTAGGTAGGGTAGAGGTAGGATGGGGTCAGGTAAGGTAGGGTAGGGTGGTGTTGGGGTTAGGGAGTAGGGTAGGGTGGGGTGGGGCTGATGTGATAAGGGGTTGGGGCAGGAGGGGGCCCCTAGGGGGTTAGGGTGGGGCCGATGTGGTAGGGTTGGGGTAGGTGGCAAGGGCTTAGGGTTTGGGGGTGGAGGTGGGTAAGGGGTCGGGTAGGGGTTAGGGTCAGGGTAAGGTAAGGTAGGGTAGGAGTAGGGCAAGATAGGATATGGTGGGGTCTGGTAGGGCCGATGTGGTGGAGGTAGGGGGTTGGGGTAAGGTGGAAAGTGCCTAGGTTTGGGGTGGGTGGGGTGGGCGAGGTTGGGGTCGGAGTAAGGTAGGGGTAGGGTGGGGGTGGGGTCGAGATCGGGTGGGGCCGGATAGGGTATGGATCGAGGCGAGGCCGAGGTGGGGGGTGGGGGTACGCGGGGCCGAGGTGGGGGTGGTAGGGTCATTGTAGGGAAAAGGGGTACGCGGGGTGGGGGTGGGGTAATGGTCGAGTAGGGGTAAGGTACAAGGATGGATGGGGGGTAGGGTCGGGTCGGGTTTGGGGTGTAGGGCGGGTAGGGGGGTAACAATAAGGATATGGGCAAGGGGTAAATTCGGAAAGTGAAAAAGCTTAAAGTGCCGCTTAATTAATACATGGGGGGTGATATGCTTGGTAAGCGTCACTTTAAGCACCTATTTCGGTTAGTGAACGACTTTTTAAGTAGCGTGTGTCAGTGTGTGTTTACTCTTATTAGGGGGGGTTATTGTACTGTGGGTTGGTTTTTTATTTACTCTTTCGTTATTTTCTTTGTTTTTTTCCTTGCTTCGTTTTTGTACTTTCTTTTTCATTAATAAGAACACTTAATTATAAAAAAAAAGTGTGTGTTTACTTCACCTGTCTTACTAACCTAATTGTCACTTTAGCAGCGAAGTAAACGCCTTCTAATGGTTGACCTAGCTACCAATGGATGACCATTAAGAGGTGCAAATTGACCAACTGAAACCCACACTATTCAAACCTCAACATCCTCCCATCCCCTCTTTGCCTCAAAGCCTCAATAAGTCATCTAACCACCAATGGTCTACCTTTGAGAGGTGCACATTAGTGGGATGGCCCTCACCCATGTGAGATATCATTCCTTTGTGTCCTGATGTGTATATTCGGTCTCGAAGGTTGTATTCCTCGGAAGTATGTGACCAAGATGGTATGAAAATTAATAAAATAAAAAATGTTTGTATACCAAGAAATCTTTCAAAAGTTGTAAAACATTTATTTATATTATAATTCATATGGATTTTCATTTACATATTTATTTCAAAGGCCTATTTATTTTCCCAATTTTATCACATTCCAATATGCTTAGTACATAATGATATATGAGAGGTAATTCCCCGTGCATCACGTGTGACAGGTACTGTACGACTCCCTCCATATTTGAAAGTTCTTTAGAGCATCTCCATTAATGATACATAAGTTTACGGGTTTTTATGGTTTCTTATTGCCATGTCATTTCCACATAAGATTATCTCAAATAATCTCCAAACCTATCAATTTCTCCTCATCCATGATCTTAATTTACCTAGATTTTATATGAGACATGCACTCAATTTCAAAATCTCTACAAAGCTAGTCATCACCTTAATTATGAGTATATGCCTAGAAAATGAAGAGAAGAGTCTAAAAGTTGGAAATAATCTCAAAATAATTCAGCTTTAGAATTTGACACCATATCATTTTATCAAATATTCTCAACTGCTCATCCACGATCCCCAAAAAATCCTCCACATCATAAAAATGATCCCAAAAATTATGGATGGGGATGCCCTTACAATAGGTTTGGGCACACCATTTAAAGTGAAACAGTAGGAATAACGAATAGTGTAGAAAAAGTAGGAAAGAATTTGAAAAATGTAAGGAAAAAGGATAAAAATGAGAAAAGTAACGATAATTGAATATTTTGAAAGCATGTAATATTTAGTAATATTGCTATGGTAATCCATTTAGTAAAATTCTGTTATGCATTTTGACTCTGGAAGAAGAAAACGAGTCAAATCCATAGGACCTCCACTCACAGTCACCTGCCATGATAAAGCCTAAATCATACCGGTGGACGTAGCTCAGCTGGTAGCGAGGGAGTGCCATAAGGGTTAGGTCTCGGGTTCGAATCCCGACAACTGCGATGAGGGGTTACTATGCTGAAAAATGCATAGAGCCTCTGCAAGTACCGGGGACAGAGCCTCACTCTCTATCTGTCAGATTGTGATCATAGTCCAATTTACATCCTCCCATCGTGCCGTCCGGTCGGTGTTGGGGGGCCTAGGGATGGACTCGGTTCGGGCCGGGCCCGGTTCGGGCCTTGAACCGGCCGGACCTCGGTTCAAGGTTTGGGAGGCCCGGAACCGGCCCGGGTAACCCCGGGTCCGGTTCGGGCTGGGGCCCCCGCCCGGTTCACGGGCCGGGCCCGGTTCGGGCCGGTCATTTTGATTTATTTTTTTTAAATTATATATTATATTATTATAATAATTGTTATTAAAAACAAAATTCAAGTGCATTTATTTGAAATAGGAAGTACATTTGAGAATTGAGGAAAAAATAACAATATGAAATACATTTTCGAATAAATATCAATTGGGATTTCCGCCACCGTTGGTTGTTGTTTTACCTTTGTCACATGACTTCATATGTTTTATTGGCATCCCGACTCCGTGTGAACGCCCCAAACAACACTCTTTCTTGCACCACTTGCAAGTTGCCCACCACAGTCCGGTCTTCGGGTCCTTCCACTTATCAAAGTTGTTTTGCATAACAGAAGAATTACTTTCCATCTTTAAAATGGTAGATGTATAAGTAGAAATGTGGGATAATAAGAGAAGATGAAGATGGAGAAGAGTTGGAGAAGAGGTGTAGAAAATGGTAGAAAATAGATGTATTTATAGATTTTTTTGAACCCCACCCCACCACCCCCGGGACCCCCCCTGCCCCCACCCTAAGCCCCTACGGCTATATAGCCGTTTGGGAGCAATCTCCCACTTCAAAATGTTTTAATTTTTTTTTTTGAAAATTATACATATTGTGTATAATTTACTTAGAAAAGTGATTTGATTTAGAAAAGTGCAAGGAAAGTGATATGATTTAGAAAATTATACATATTGTGTAAGGAAAATGTTTTTAATTTTTTAATTAAGTAAAACTATTTTTACTTAGAAAAGTGATTTGATTTATAATTTACAAATGTTACAAAATAGGTGTATAAGTTGTAACTTGTAAGTTTGTAACAAATTAATTAATTTACATATTAATATTACATATTTTAATTTAAAAACAGCCTTTAGATTTTACAAAAATAATTTCAAGTTGTAAGTTATAAGTTTGTAACCAATTAATTAATTTGAGAAGTGCTACATATGAAGTACAAGTTTACAAATGAATTTCATTGAATTGAATTATTAAATTGATGTACACAATAATATAAAATAATTCAAGTATATTTATTTCAAATAAGAAGTACAATTGAGAATTAGGATGCATTTAAAATATGTACATCATCCGGGGTGCCGTGAGTCCCGTCGCCCCCCGCGTCCTCCTCCGCATCGTCATCCTCGAGCTCCTCTTCATCAATGGTTGTCGGGATGGGTTGTTCTTGTGCAAAGCGTGGATCGTTTTGGGACAACAGGTTTTGTAGATGCTCGTCGCACATCATCATATCATCTCTCCGTTGGTAATCCGTTTCAAAATCATCTCGACTTTGAAAAGAAGACTCGGCCCGCGCTTTACCTTTGCCTTTGTGTGAAGTAGGACGAGTCGACGCAATCTCCCTCTTGCGGTTGCGTTGGAGATTACCCACATCTACAGAATGTCTACCATGTTCCATCTTTAAAATTGAACAAATATTAAATGATATCAAATATTTTATATGAGTACAATAGTAATAATAAAATGTGACTAAGAAAACTATAGCATATTCGAACTAAAATATGAGTATAAAAATCGAACTACTTCTAATTAATACTTTAATGAGAAATGTATCAATTAACTAAATATTAACTAGTTTGACTAATATAAATATGAGAATTGTAAAAATTAACTAGTTTTTTTTTTTTACTTTAATGAGCAATGTACAAATTAACTAATATTAATATGAGAAATGTAACAATTAGGTAGTTTAACTAATATTAATATGACAAATTTAACAATTAACTACTTTAGCTAGTTTTTAAAATGACAAATGTAAAAATTTACTAGTTATTTTTACCTTAATGAGAAATGTATACTTTAACTAATATTAATATGACAAATGTAAAAATGTACTACTTTTTTTACTTTAATGAGAAATGTAGCAAGTATAACTAATATTAATATGAAAAATGTACCAATTAAGTAGTTTAACTAATATTATTATGACAAATGTAAAACTTAACTAGTTTTTTTTACTTTAATGAGCAATGTATGAAATAACTAATTTTAATATGACAAATGAAACAATTAAGTACTTTAACTAATTGAAATATGACAAATGTAAAAATATACTACTTTAACTATTTTTTTCTTTAAAGAGAAATGTAGAGAAATGTAACAATTAACTAATTTAATAGATAAATGAGAAGTCTAACAATTAACTACTTAATAGATAATGTATTAACTAATTTATATATTAACTAAATGTAATATGTAAATATAAGTACATAACAATAGTATGTATACAAACTAAATATCAAATAAATATGAATGTGTATAAGTATATATAGTATATATAATGTGTAAATATATTATAAGTAATATATAATATAATGTTTATAGTATATAATATATAAGTATATTACTATAAGATGAGTAATACTCTTATACTTAATACTTTAATATATATATATATAAGTATATATTAACTAAATGTAATATGTAAATATAAGTAAATAACAATAGTGTGGATAATAACTAAATATCAAGTAAATATGAATGTGTATAGTATATATACTTATATAGTATATATAATGTGTAAAGAATTATAATATGAATGTGTATAAGTATATATTTATAAATAGATATTTAATATATAAGTAGATATAATAATTATATAAATTATATATATGTAGAAAGAATTTGGAGAAGATGAAGAATGAAGATGATTGAATATGAGAGATTTAGAGTAGAGAATTAGAGAGTAGGAAGAGTTGTAGAAGAAGAGGTGTAAAAAATGTAGAGAAAATGAGAGTTTAAATAGATTTTTTTTATACCCCACCCCCTAACCCCCCAGACCCCCCCTCCTATGCTCCCAACGGCTATAGAGCCGTTTGGGAGCCTTCCCAACAACTAGGAGCCTTCTAAAATAAAAAAAGATTTTTTTTTTAAAAAAATATGGCCGTTGGAGGCCCGAACCGGGCCCGCCCCCGCCGGGCCGGTTCACTAAAATGGAGGCCCGGGCCCGGACCGCTATACCACCGGGCCGGGTGGCCCGAACCGGCTAAGAACCGGTTGACCGGGCCGGTCCGGGGGGCCTAGAGGTGCCCTCATGGATACCGTCCGGTCAGTGTTAGGGGGCCCTCAGGGATGGGGTCATCTTCTTCTTCTTCTTCTTCTTTTTTTTTTTTTTTTTTTTTTGTTTGCCTAAACCACATTAAAACCCCTACGGACATTCACGCCCGCCCGCCTATTCGTAGCTCTGCTGCCCGAAAGACAAAGGTAGACGAACGAACCCCAGTCTGTCACTCTCTATTCTCAGCTCATATTCGAATCGACACTCCTCGCCCATCTTCTGAGCTGCCATCTCCAGGCGAAGGTTGAAGCTCTGCTCAAAAGACGAAGCCCTGAAGAACGATTCTGCCCTCTGCAATCTGCATTTAGTTGATGTCATATGTTGTTAACTGTGACCCAGGTGTGTCAATTTCGGTACTTATAACTCCTCTTAATCTGTGTATGAGATATACTTCTTCGGAGACTTGTGTATAGGAGCACGAGCTCAACCGTGAAAAGGATTATGCGGTTTTTATATACCGTGTCAATACGCTTTTGACCCCAAAGAGTCCGCGAGTTCCAGTCACCTTTTTCTAGCTCCTCCTTCACCATCTCAAGCTTCCTCCCTACTGACAATAGCCCGATTACTGACAAAACCTCACCTTTCAATTTCTTCCACTGCGCATTTCTCTTCCAATTCTTCCGTGAGTGTTGTATGGTTTTCAGTAGAGGGAGGATACCAAATAAACAGAGTATTACTAAAGTGTGTTTTAAAATAATTTAATTAGGTTGTGAAACTAAAACATGGATATTTTTCCTCTCACGGTGCCTAGTTGGGGCATTTGCGCCTTTGGCACTGTGCTGCATACTAGTATGATGGGCATTTTGACTTCAATTGGCTGTGCTTGATGATTTTTTTTTATCCCTTTTATTTATTTTGAATGATGATTTATTTTGAACATATTAGCTACACAAGTGATTTAGATTGGTAATGAATTGCCTTGTTGCAGAAAGTCCGGGCAATAAACTTCTTTAGAAACAGCTAGCTTAGAGACTGCACAGAAAATTTGGTTGCTTTGGTGTGCAAAAGGTGTAGGTCTCCTGTTCTACATATTTTTATTTGAGTCTGGTTGAGCACATGGGAGAACATGGTATTTTATGTTATATCACTGTGCCTACTATAATCATGTAATGGTTTAGGAGTAGTGTGATGTCAGGAACAGATTTCCTTCTCATTCGACGTGCCATTCAAATTTGGGCATGCTTAGTGAGATGGAGGAAGGAGTTCAGCTGTTACATGCCATGTTGTTCTGAGAGATGAGGAAAGGTGATAAATTCATCAATTATAAGGGTCCATTTGAAACATTGTAGTAAAGGGCACGAGACACAAAGTGGAGGCCTCATAGAACAGAGGCACATTTCTTTCCTAAAATGCATTTAATAAACAACAACACTAAATGCTAAAGTCTGGTACTTTATGTTGCTAACACAATAGTATCATGAAAAACAAGATTAAATACAAAAAATCAGTTGCAGTAGTTTATCAGTAAAGGGGAAGATACTATAGCAGTAGTGTATTACTCGCAAAACAGAGGGAAAAACCACTGGAGAAATGGAAAACAGAATAAGAAACGGCGAAGAAGCGGAAGTCGACACTCGATGAAGGAGGGGGAGGAGAGGAAACATACTTTTTTGCAAAGATGAGAGAGCGCCAAAGCGTATGTTTTGTTTTGGATGAACAGTAGGTCTTCTAACCTTTGTCGTATAGGTTCAAATCCTATTGGACACAATTCTTCCATTTCTTTTTCTAACTCAAGGAAGAAGAAGAGGACTTCATTGAATTTGTAATTTAATTAGGTTTAAATAAAAAGGAGAATATTTAGATGCGCCCCTTTCCAAGAGGAGCTGGATGGGCAATGCCTCATATCCGCTGAGAGGCAATAAATATATCACATCCCTACGCCTCGTACCATGGCACGTCTCAAGCACACTTTTTTAGACTAAGGTTTGGAGCCAGGAGAATGCTTGGAAAAAAGGATGGAGGAAAATAGAGGAAAATTATTGAAGAAAAGTAAAGAAAGGAACAACATGCACAGTAAAATAGAAAAGCGCTTTAAACTCAATAAATCAATTATAAATATTTGTGCAAATGCGTTTTATCTAAATATTTCTATTACATAAAAGACTAAGAAATATAAAAATATAAACTGTTTGGAAAAGCATAATCCAATTTGATTTTCATTTGTACTCTGGCTATTAAGGTAAAACCAACATGAAAAACCATTTTCCTTGTTCATTTCCATTTCCCCTAAGAGGAAAGGCTGAGGATTCCCTTTGGATCCTCTAACTCTCGAGATTCCTAGTATTTAATATTTTAATATCTTTCCCTACACCAAAAATTTCTTTGAGTAGAGCGGGTTTACCTTAGCTATTACTATATGAATTGTATAAGAGAAATCGGATAGTGTATACACGAAGTGACCTTGTAAAGTGCATGTTTTTATGTACTTCACTTTCTGTGCATGAATCAGGTTTGAGGATGTAGGGATTTGTCTGGAAAGAAATCAAGTGATCTGCTGCATGCATCAATGAGAAAGCTCGCCTCACTTGTTACATTGTATGTATTTTTTACGATTTAGCATGCACAAACTTAAGTTCACGTGTTTAAATACGAAGTAATATATATATATATATATATATATATATATATATATATATATATATATAGGGTGCGGTTCCGGTGAGAGCACTTCTTAACATGAGAAATGAGAACGCTCCAAAACGATGCACTTTATCATTCACGAAAACGCACATTTATAGTTAAAGTAATGCAAAATTCTAAAGTGCACTTTTACGTGTAAACTTTTGCACACTTGAAATGCACATTTTCCAATTTTTTATATGCACATTTCCATTTTACTTGATGCACAGTGCCAAAATCCGATGCTCCAGAATCATTCTCATTTCTCACATTAAGAAGTATTCTCATTTGATCCTTTCTCTCCCTCTCTCTCTCTCTCTATATATATATATAAACATGTGGCACCATTAGGCTAAAGTAATGAAAACTTAATAAAAAAAGGAAAAATATTTTGTATAAACTGGCTAGTAAAATACGCCCATAATTCCCTTAAATATATCTCAATAATTTTAACAATACTGTTCTTTGTATGTGTTTGAATAAAAACTTTCTCAAATTTAGTGTGTTTATATTATGTGATTATCATGAAATTAATATTTACAAAATACAATATTGATATTGAGGTGGATAAAATCACCAAGTATGATAGTAAACAAACTTAGCTCACTCCAGCTATCTGCAACCCACTTCCGTCAACTAGACATGGCAATGGGTCGGGGCGGGTATTGCAAGACCCGGACCCGCCCCGCCCCGCCGTAACCTAATTAGCTAGTATGTATTTTTATTTGTAGGAAGTTGTTACCAATTGAATCTACATAATGTTTATCTCTAAATAATAATGAAAAATCAATATATTAAATCAAATTCATGATACGCTAAAAATTTCAAAATTAAGGGAAAATTACTCAAACTTGAATAGTTAATCTAATTAGTTATATTAATAATTGAATATATGTATCAAAATTTTATATATAAAGAAGACATTGATAATCCGTCGTGCATCTCATTCTAATATATATTCATATATTATAATTTCAAAGAATTTATGATTTATTGTATACACTCATATGTATGTTGAAGTATATTTGTAGTATAATTTAAGAAAAAGTATGTATACTTATATATTGAGCGGGTCGGGGCGGGGCGGCACGGGTCAATTCTAATACCCGGACCCGTCCCATTGTATAGGCGGGGCGGGGCGGACCCGCCCCATTTGCAAGACGGGGCGGGGCGGACCCGCCCCAAATGTCTCGGGCCAGGGTGGGTCATTGCGGGTCGGTTTTTTTTTGACATCCCTACCGTCAACGTCAATATATCCAAATGTCAATGCTCTTAATACGAAAATTACATATTCACTCTGTCAATTGAGTTTTCCTTTGCAACCCAACAAGAGTCAATATATCAATTATGTATATATGTTTTGCATACGATGAATAAAGGCTTTGTTATAAATAATTTTTTACAAACTTCTTTATTATCAATTATTATGAATTTTAAAACCACACATTTCGATGTAAATAAATAAACTTGGAAACTTGGTTAATTTTTTTTATTTTATTTAGTTATTAAATTATTTAGAAATAAACAAGACTCAAGAAGGCTGCACAGCACAACTGCACAGGACTGCTGAAGTAAAAAGCCCTCCCATGTACTGTGTTCTTTCCTTTTCTCGGCAGAAGCCTGTCCTTTTCTCAGCCAAAGGCTGGGCAATGAAGAGAGTCAATATGCGTTGGGGTTTTCCACCCCTTGTGGTGAATATACCCACTTTTAACCCCTTGTATACAAGGTTGTACAACAAATGGGGGTGAATAACCCCAAATTTCGTTTTTTCTCCTATTCACCCCTTTGGGTTGTAACCAGCTGTAAGCTTGGTTATGTTGTACATGTACGGTCATCCAAGTCAATTGAGTTTCCTATTTCTATTTTTTGACATAATGTCGTCACACATTTGACTTTGCTAGTCTGAGTCATCCCAGGATGCTCAGAAGATGAAGTTGTTGGTTGTGCAATTTGTGAGTCTGTACTTGTATTAAGCATGTTATAATGGCATGCTGTTGAACTGCCTATACTGATGTTGCCTTGTTACACATCATCTTATTCCCAGGGGAGAAGATTGTAAAACCATGAGCGGTGCATTATCTGCTTTATCCATACTTTATGAATCTTCTCACATAAAACACACGCTGAGAGAAGAAATAAGGCCGTTCGCTAGTGGAATCTCACAGAGAATTAAGGAAGATCATGTGGCAGCTCGCATTGCCAGGGGAGCTAAGGCAGAAGTGATTAGACAAGACAGAAGATGTAATGGCAGTTCCAATAGAAGCCCTAGAATAACTAAAAATGAAATGTCTGATGTAGTTAGCAAGGTAAGGAGAAGTCTGATACGTGAACATGCCACTCTCAAACACAATACCCATTATTATTACTCTAGTGGTAGAGAGCAAAAACTTTCTGAAAATGTACAATTTACAAACTGTTCTTCACCGTCTTTACCACAGATGTATCGACTAAGAAGAGATGAACCACAATCACCAATCCAACTATTGCCAAATGATATGCAGCCTATTAAGTTAATGGCAACCAAAACCAAAGAAAAGAAGACAGAGTTTTTTCTTATGCAAGATGAAGGCATACCATCTCTGGAAACGGGAAGCAACTTCGCAGGTTTTGCTGGTAATGGTACTCTGAACCCAAATCAGCTAGCAAACTCTACTGCCACAGAAAAGTGCATTACCAAGGCAAATCTTCGTGAGAGGCTGGGGTCCATCTATGAGAAAGTTTTCATTGTCGACAACATCTCACTGGCCAAGGAAGTAGTCAGTAAGCTTACAAATGAGTACAGAGATTTAATCCATGCATGTGATACTGAGGCATGTCTCCTGCTTCTGTTATATCAAAGTTTCTTTACAAGCTTGTATATAGAACATATAAACATTTGTATTTATTTTTAGAAATACAGGACCGTATGTTCAGTTTGTTATGTTCTGAACTACTTTTGAAGAAAATATCAACTATTTCTGAGATTATTTATCTGCTTTCTAACAATTGATAGGTGTCCAAGATTAATGTCAAGAAAGAGACACCAGTTGGTCATGGAGAAATCATATGCTTCAGTATTTATTCTGGACCAATTGCTGATTTTGGAAAGGGAAAATCTTGTGTCTGGATTGATGTTCTTGATGGCGGTGGGAAGGATATTTTATTAGAATTTGCCCCATTTTTTGAAGATCCGTCAATTAGAAAGGTAAATCCAAAGAGTTGGCAGTTTTCTGTGGTTTCCAATGTGCTGCCATTTTGTCCCTTTTTAACTTAATTTTGTATTATATTTTCCTCGTTTTCGAGCAATCAGCACTTTTGTGTTAAAATGCCTCATGCTTTTCAGTTTTCATAGGTCTGGCACAACTATAGCTTTGATTGTCATGTCATAGAAAATTACGGACTCAAAATATCCGGGTTTAATGCCGATACCGTGCACATGGCTCGGCTGTGGGACTCCTCCAGACGATTAAAGGGAGGATATTCTCTTGAGGCTCTTACAGGTGATAACTATGTCATGTGTGATGCAAGAGTCTCCCCTGGTGAAGAGCTGTTTGGTAAAGTGTCAATGAAAACTATTTTTGGCAGGAAAAAATTGAAGAAAGACGGGACTGAGGGTAAAGTTGACATCATTCCATTAGTTGAAGAGTTGCAAAGAGCGGATCGCAAATTATGGATTTCTTACTCTGCCTTGGATTCCATAAGCACATTCATGCTTTATGAAAGTTTGAAAACTAAGCTGTCTAATCTGGTCTGGGTGTTTGATGGAGTTTATAAAGGGAACATGCTTAACTTTTATAATAGATACTGGCTTCCATTTGGTGAGGTTTTAGTTCAGATGGAAACCGAGGGCATGCTTGTTGATTGTGCTTATCTGGCTGAGTTGCAGAAAGTGGCTCAAGCCGAGCAGGAGATTGCTTCTCTAAGATTTCGCAACTGGGCATCTAAGTACTGCCCTGATGCAAAATACATGAATGTTGGAAGTGATCAACAGCTGCGTCAGCTCTTCTTTGGCGGCGCTTTGAATAAGTATGGTGCTTCATTATATTAAATAGAGAAAATAGCCCTAAATATGGCTAAACTAATCCCTAAATGTACAAATAGGACTATGTTATTTATCTTCCCAAAATAGGACTAAAGCATACCCTATCTTCCTATTCTACCTTTATCATAACTTAATAGGATAGTCGTATTTTAATTTTTAACAAAAACAAAAAGTAATAAAAATATTTTAACTTATGCAAAAAACCATAAAAAATTAAAAACTATTTTAAAAAAATTATTAAAAGAATAAAAAAAATTTAAAAACAAAAAACTTTAAAAATAAATAAAAGAAAGATAAAAACACATAAAAAATGTAAAAAAAATGGAGGCCTTTCCCGTAGCCTCGGCCACCTCCTAGCAATGCCACCTCCGATCGGCGAAAAAAATGCCATTTTGTGTAAAAACTGTATTTTCTCTGAAAATGCCATGAAGATGACATTTACTCTTTGAAAATGCCAAATTTTTTTTTCAAAAATTGCCAACAAGATGGCATTTTTGACACATGTTGGCATTTTCCGGTGGTCATAGCTGGTGGTACTGGGAGGGCGTTGAGGCTGCAGCAGAGGCCTGCATTTTTTCTTCATATTTTTACGTTTTTTTTAATTTTTTAAGTTTTTATTTTATATTTTTTTATTTTTCTTTTTTTACCTTTTTATTAATTTTATTATTATTTTTTTGTGTTTTTTATTTTAAATAAAGTTATGTTATTACTTTTATGGTTTAATTATTAATGAAACACAAATTGTATTAAAACAAAGAAAGGGTAGAATTGGAAAGGTAGTCCTATTTAGGAAATTTTAAAGTTATAGTCCTATTCTTGCAATTAAAGTTTCATGTAGTCCTATTTGGGGAATTCCCCCAATTAAATATGTTGATTACATAGTATATCTTTTGTTCATTTGTTTGTTATTAGGTGCTAAGTTACCCTCTTCAGGTTGTGCTCTTTTTCTTATTCTTGTGACTAATCCTTCTCTCCTTTACATTTCTTATCCTTTCTTTCCGGTGTAGAAGGGACCCTAATGAGATTCTCGACAACAAGAAGGATTTCAAAATTCTCAACGCACTAAATATAATAAAAGAAGGCAAGAAGGTTCCATCAAAGTATAATAAGATCACACTTTATAAGATTGGTGACCACATTGAGGTTGATGTGCACACTGCTAGTGGTTGGCCATCTGTTAGCGGAGATGCATTAAAGGCTCTCGCCGGCAAAATTTCTGCTGATTTTCAAACCACTACTGGATCAGATTACAGTGAGGAAGACGGTTCTATTTCAGACAATGATGAGCCTTATGTGGTTAATGAAGAAGCACCATGTGAAGAAATTTCGGGGTATGGAACAGCTTATAAAGCTTTTGGAGGTGGAAAAGAAGGAATAGAGGCGTGTCATGCCATTGCCTCTTTAATTCAAGTTTGCTCCATCAACTCCCTGATTTCGAACTTCATCATCCCTTTGCAGGTGAATTACTTTGGTACTTATAAGTTGGGTTAGGTAGGGACAGGTGCTTCCTAATACATGTCACCAGAGATTTTCACGAATTTTATTGGTTGTGGACCTTGTGGTTGTGAGTGCATCTTCTCCCGTGTTAAAATGACTTTTGATCTTTGCATGTGTGGTTCTAGATAAAGTTACCAAGATCATGACAAAAAATTACTAATTCTGTGTAATCAGTGATGTCAATAGCGGGCTATAGCGGGACGGAGCAGGGGCTAGGTGCTATGAAACTGCCTATAGCAGAGCGGTTGACAATAATGGCTGTAGCGGGCACTAGGGTTGGGCACGGGCCGGGTCGGGGCGGGTAATGCAAAATAAAATGGAACCGCCGGTTCCATTGTACGGTCCGGTCCGGGTATTACAATTTTCAAAATAGGAACCGGAAAATTACCCGGCCCGTTTGAAACGGGTCGGTCCGGTCCGAGTTTTACGGTTTCTATTCTCATGTCTTGAAATTAGTAAAAACTCACGAAGTTCCAAAAATCAATAATCAATAATATAGGACATTAGCAAGTTTGAAAATAACAACATAGTGGTGCACATATAACACAAACGAAAAGTCCAATAATACTCCATAATTTCTTGTATATAAGTTTCAAACAATTAAAGAAATTCCAAAAATATGCAACATAGCCAATTTACATATTTTCTAACATTTGTATTTAAACATGTTGTCTAACATCACATATTATAGTGATTGCTTTTTTTTATATTAAATTTTCAGTATTAGCCAAAGTTGACACATACATGGTGGGTGGTAAACACAATTTATATATTTTAATAACAATATAATAAAAAAATATAACACAATCATCTTTAACAAATAATTAAATTCCATAGAAAGGAATAATTCAATAACAATAAAAAGTAATAAGATATTTATGAAACATTTAATCAATAATTTGAAAACAAAAGGATGTTACTCCAACTCAATTTAAAATCCTACTTCTAGCAAAGGAAAGAAAACTATTTTAAAACCGATTATCACAAAACTATTAATAAATTAATATACAATATATATAACGGGCCGGGCCGGGTACCCGTTATTTTTTAATTTTGGAACCGGTCCGGTTCCTTAAAAAAAATTACCCGACCCTACCCGGACCGTTTTATGGCAACAAAAAATGGAACCGGCCCGTTTTGGACCCGAACCGCCATTACCCGGACCGGACCGCGGTTCCAAGACCCGTTTGCCCACCCCTAGCGGGCACCATAGCGGGAAAAATAGTGGCTGTAGCGGGCGCTATAGCGCCACTATAATTTACAGGGCTACTCTAGTGCTAGTTTTGAGGGAATTTGGGAGTACTTTTTACTTTTAGATGTTTTTGGAGTAAAAAATAACCTCAATACACCCTCCAAAACACGTGGGAGATAAAATAACCCTACTAAACCCTACTAAAATAACTCAAAACAGAAACCAAGATCAAACATAACCTATAGCATGCATTTCCATGTTAATGTAATTCAAGGCATCCCAGCAACCATGATTTTGTTGTAATTAGATATTAATGACTGCAAATTTATCAAGAAACATTTGGAACTTAATTTTTAGTTTAGAAGTAAGGTACTTAAATGATTTGTTTCTTTTGTTTAAGACACTAATGCCTTTTTATTGGTAAATTAGTAAGTGTAAATTTCATGACGTTTGAGTAATATATTTGTGGTTTATCATTTCTTGGAATTGATATGTGCATGACATGTATTTGTATGCACACATATAATATGTACTTTGCATATACATTGTCTAAATAGCGGTCATCCCGCTATCCGCTATACCACTTTAGCGTTTTTGGGGTTGGCCGCTACGCTCCGCTATGCGGGATTAACAACACTGTGTAGAATATAATGTTCTTTTTCTAAATTCATAGTGTTTTGCATGTATAGTAACTGCTTTTTGGCGTTATTTTTTTTCTTCCTTCCATGCCATTAATACACACATGAAGACATACTTATACATCAGGAATCTCTATATTGTTCAGCACATTAAATTTCCCTTGATTCTATAGCCTGAAGCATTTATGTTGGTGTTGTTATCTCTGTAAGGGCGGGGAGATATCCGGAAGTAATGGACGCATCCATTGTTCACTGAACTTAAATACTGAAACTGGGCGTTTGTCAGCAAGGAGGCCAAATTTGCAGGTTTTCATGCAAAGATTTCAATTTTATTAGATTAATTCTTTAAGTATGCTGAACTCAGATATCTTTAATGTTCATTTGAAATTTTATATATCATGCGCCAGTTTACCACGGCTAATGAACTTTGCACTTTTTTATGCCCGAGGCAAACCAAGAGTTGAGTGTATGTTCAAATATTAACACGGGAATGAAATCTAAAAGTTCTAGAACATGAAGCATTTGAAATATATGACTCATTCTTATTCATCTTATGAAAGCTTACAACAATAGCTATCTCTATAGCTTTAACTAGGGTACAATTAGGGTTAACTCCATAAAGTGGGCTGAGCCCAATAAGCTAGGGTTTAGGGTTTCAACACTCCCCATAAGCTGGAGCATATAAATCATATGCACCAAGTTTGTTACAAATGCATTCAATTCTAGGACCTCGAAGAGACTTTGTTGTTAAAACATCTGCAAGCTGATCTGTCGTGCTGACATAACTTGTGATGATTTGTCCTTTTAAAATCTTCTCTCGGATGAAATGACAATCAACTTCAATATGTTTAGTCCTCTCATGAAATACTGGATTAGATGCGATGTGCATTGCAGCATGGTTATCACACATCAACTGCACTGGTGTCATGCTTCCGTATCTCAATTCTTGAAGGAGGTGCTTTAACCATAAAATCTCACATGCAACAAGGGCCATTGTTCAATTCTCGAAATTGTGTAGTTATTCTAGTATATTTTTTTCTGAACATCTTCATTATTCAAGGCTGTAATACCTGGAATTCTGATCTTATTATCAGGATGCCATTATCAATATACGTATATTTCAGCTGGAGTGTGGTGTTACATATCACCCTCTCTTCGGAAGTCTCCCAACCAAACAAGGGCCACATTATCTGCCATGTTTTTTTATGTTACCGATGTCATATTCTTTCATATATCCCATAATCCCAACAATAATATAAGTCATAGGTTAAATTGAATTGGAAATAAACTCTGATTTCTCATCTTGTCATCTGCCACTTTTGTGCCAGCACTTGCTACATTTTAGTGTCTACCCTCATCGTCCAGCATCTTGTAACTGCTAATTTTTTTTATGTGATTCAGAACCAGCCAGCTTTGGAAAAAGACAGGTATAAAATTCGTCAGGCATTCATCGCTGCACCTGGGAATTCCTTAATTGTGGCTGACTATGGCCAGGTAATATTTTCATTTTCAACGGTGTTTATTTGATAGGGATCTACCTATTAGATTAATAATAGATAATAATTCTAATATGAATACTAGAAGAATAGATACTGATTAGTGGTCCTGTTATAATGGGCCTATTATTATAGAGAATAATAAGAGGGCTTATACTATAAATAGAAAAGGGAAGGAAGGAGAAGGGAGGCTTTTGGACATTGGTCTGGGACTGGGAAAGATTAGAGAATTGTTTTCTCTTCTCTTTTGGGAGGCTTCGACCTTGGTTACTGTTACTGTTCATCATCTTCAATAAAGATTTTCTCTTGTTTCTTGATATATTTTCTGTAATTGTTCTGGATATTTGGAGGTCTCTAACATTATTTTTATGAAAATCTATATCCTTCTGTTTCACTATAATTGTTTATGTATCCTTTGCTGCTTAGTTGGAACTTAGGATTCTTGCACATCTTGCAAATTGTAAGAGTATGTTAGCTGCCTTTGAAGCTGGTGGAGACTTCCATTCAAGGACTGCTTTAAGCATGTATCCACACATACGAGAAGCAATTGAGCAAAAACATGTTCTCCTTGAATGGGACCCTCAGCCTGGTGAAGATATGCCACCAGTTCCATTACTAAAGGTTGGTACACATACTGTTTGGTATATATTTCTGGCAGTTTCTATTCTTGTCTGTTCTATGAATAATTTCTTAAAGCATGTGGCATAATGTCTCATGTTGGTTTAAGATGTAATGTATCTGCATCTCCCTTCTTTTAGCTGAGAGATAAAATGTACCCAGCCTAAATAATCTTCACAATTTCCTTTTCCTTCCAAAATCAACTCCCATCTCCTTTAGAAGGAAAGCATTATGTGGTTCATATTATTTATCTTCCTCTAAATAAATCACGTTCAACCAAGCTTTGTTTTCCTGATCTCCGAAATATCAAACTTTTTGTTGTGGAAAAAACATTTCTACCAAAAAACAACTATTTTGCCCTGTGAAAAGCACATTTATAAGGGACGGCTGGAGTACTATTTTACAAATATATTGCTCCAAATCTTACTCTTATGTCCTTAGACTCCTCACTCTTTACTGATGTTGCTAGAGATTGAATCTACAACATGATATTGAAAGTATGACAAGACACTAAAGTTTAGAATTACTTGATAATGAGAGATGATGCTGGTTGTGAAATTTTCTGAAAAGGCCGATGAAAAATAAATCTGATATGAAAAATTTCAGATATATCCTGAATTTTAAAAGTCTCTTGGTCATGTTCTAATATGCATGTTGGTCATGCAATATCAATTATATAATAGACAAATCAACAAAACAATGCTAAATATCTGAACTCATCACTGTCTCAGAAGTGTCTCATGACATTTTCCATGCATGTGTGGGTATAACTACTATTATGCAAGTTTTGATACTTTCATCCTTTCATTCTTCTTATAAAGTTTTAGGACAATAAGGCCTGTTTGATGACTTAATTTTTTTTGAGAGAAGCGGAGAGAAGGTAAAGGTTAAAATGTTAAATGAACCCCTTCCCTAAAAAAACCCTCACCTCATTTGGCTAAAAAATTAAGTGTAAGCGCCCCCTCCTGTTTTGGTTCCTTCTGATTTGTTATTTAGGAAAACTAATATTTTTATGTGTAACATCCCTACACCCCTACCCTCCAACAAAAACTAAACAAGGTTACGTTCAAGTATTATCATTTCTTCCCCTCCCAATTGGTTGCTACTTGCTACTACTACTTCCCCCCATTACTACTACTATCATCATCATTTTTTATTGTAGTTATTTCCATCATTTCCAATGGAGCCAAAGACTCACTATTTTTTGGCTTGAGAATATGGTGGAATAAAGCAAACTGACTCACTAAACTGCCTGCGCTTCTTTGTTATGAAGCAGCAGTCGGTCCTTGCAATTTTCGACAATTTTCGACGGTCTCTCTGTGCTTTAGTACAAGGGTAAGACTGTGTACATCCGACCCCCCCCCTTACCCCACCGTTGGTGGGAGCCTTTGAGGCACTGGGGTAATGATGATGAGTTATTTTTATTATTTTTGTCTAGGATGCGTTCGCCTCTGAAAGAAAGAAAGCAAAGATGCTTAATTTTTCTATTGCTTATGGAAAAACTTGATATGAAGCGGGAAGAGCATGGGGCGGGACGGGCTTGAGCCCACCTCCGTGGGCTGGTTGCGGGCTGTTTAATTAATATTTATTCTTCCTTTTATTTTGTTTCCTAATTTAATTTGTTTCCTGATAGGATTTATTTAGGACTTCTATTCTTATTAGAATTAGAGGTTTCCTATTTCTATTTAGTTTCCTAGAATGATTTAATTAGGAGTTCTATTAGAACTAGAGGTTTCTTATTCCATTCAGTTTCCTAGAATAATTTAATTAGGATTCCTATTCTTATTAGGCCTAGAAGGTTATTTATACCCCTTGTATGCTTCATTCTTGATCATCTTGGAATAAAAGTTGGTTTAGCCTTTTGGCTCTGGGCAACAGTATTTATTTATCGTTGATTATCTGGGCAACGGTTCACCCCGTTGATTTTATTTTTTTGTTCCTATCAATTGGTCCAACCTGCCGGATCCCGTCCCGCCACAATGACAAGATTTCAAAGTGATCGATTGCAAGAATTGGAAAGTGAACAAAGTCGCACGGGAGAGGTGGCCCGACTGGGCGCCGAACGGACCCGAACGAACCTGACACTCGACGAGCATGGTACGAAATTGGAGGCGATGAACCTGACACTCAGAGATCACGGGGCGAAACTGGAGGAAATCGCGGCTTCTCTGGCCCCGTTAACAAAGGCGTTGGTACCGCCTGGGTCACCGGACATCAGCGCGGTGGGAGCCAACATCGGCGCGCTGACAGTGCCGCATATCGACGGGGGAGGGCGCAATCCAACTCCGACGCCACTACCCACGTTCGATGGGGGGGACCCGATCGGGTGGTTAGCCCGTGTGGAGCAGCAATTCGAGTTACAGGCAACCCTACCGGAGAGAAAGGTGGTTGCCGCTATGGTAGCCATGGAAGGTGGAGCGCTTTACTGGGTTACATGGTTGAGATCACGCAAACCCGGTATAAACTGGGAAGAATTCAAACAAGCCCTGGTTACCAGATTTGATTCTCGATACCAGGGAAACCGGTTTGAACGACTGTCTGGAGTCAAGCAAGATGGAACTGTGAAGGATTATAACCGTTGCCCAGCTTGCTGGGCAACAGTTCACCCCGTTGTTTTTATTTTTTTGTTCCTATCAATTGGTCCGACCTGCCGGATCCCGTCCCGCCACAATGACGAGATCTCAAAGTGATCGATTGCAAGAATTGAAAAGTGAACAAAGTCGCACGGGAGAGGTGGCCCGACTGGGCGTCGAACAGACCCGGACGAACCTGACACTGGACGACCATGGTACGAAACTGGAGGCGATGAACCTGACACTCAGAGATCACGGGGCGAAACTGGAGGAAATCGCGGCTTCTCTGGCCGCGTTAACAAAGGCGTTGGTACCGCCTGGGTCACCGGACATCAGCGCGGTGGGAGCCAACATCGGAGCGCTGACAGTGCCGCATATCGACGGGGGAGGGCGCAATCTAACTCCGACGCCACTACCCACGTTCGATGGGGGGACCCGATCGGGTGGTTAGCCCGAGTGGAGCAACAATTCGAGTTACAGGCAACCCTATCGGAGAAAAAGGTGGCTGCCGCTATGGTAGCCATGGAAGGTGGAGCGCTTTACTGGGTTACATGGCTGAGATCACGCAAACCCGGTATAAACTGGGAAGAATTCAAACAAGCCCTGGTTACCAGATTTGATTCTCGATACCAGGGAAACCGGTTTGAACGACTGTCTGGAGCCAAGCAAGCTGGAACTGTGGAGGATTATAACATTCTTTTTATCTAGTTGGCAAGTCAAGTCTTGGGTTTGTCTGATGAGCACTATTTGGGATATTACATGAGCGGTCTTAAGGAAACAATTTGAAGCTCGCTGCGATTGCTTCGATCAAACAACCTGGAGATGGCGATGGAATTAGCTCGCGAAGTGGAGTATAATCTGTCCGTCCAAAGTGGAGAAAGTGGCAGCCTGAATTATCATTCGTCAAGGGTACGTTCTAGCAGCCTTTTAAGGGCAAACACAGGTTCCCCGTTGACTGCCATTGGTGGCAGCTTACAGGGTTTGGAGGGCAGCTTGGCGAAAGACAGTGGACAGCCCCCAGGGACAAGATCAGGGCAGTCCATGACACGCTCTCAGTTCACTCGTCTTCCGCCAAAAGAGTTGCAGAATTGCGGGCTAAGGGATTATGCTTTAGGTGTAAGAAACCATTTACGCCAACACATGATTGCCCCTTTAAGCAGCTGCGGGTAATGATAGCGGATGAGGATGAAGAGTTGGACCTCAAGCATCATGAATTCTGTGAAATAACCGGCCAGGAAAAGGTTCAGGAAAGAGAAGAAGAATATTTTCCAGTCTATTCTATGTCTGCAAATTTCAGTTCCCGATCCGCGAGTTTTCAACCTTGAGGACAAGGTAATTTGGAGGATGGATTGATATGAAGCGGGAAGAGCATGGGGCGGGACGGGCTTGAGCCCACCTCCGTGGACTGGTTGCGGGCTGTTTAATTAATATTTATTATTCCTTTTACTTTGTTTCGTAATTTAATTTGTTTGCTGGTAGGATTTATTTAGGACTTCTATTCTTATTAGAATTAGAGGTTTCCTATTTCTATTTAGTTTCCTAGAATGATTTAATTAGGAGTTCTATTAGAACTAGAGGTTTCCTATTCCATTCAGTTTCCTAGAATAATTTAATTAGGAGTCCTATTCTTATTAGACCTAGAAGGTTATTTGCACCCCTTGTATGCTTCATTCTTGATCATCTTGGAATAAAAGTTGGTTTAGCCTTTTGGCTCTGGGCAACAGTATTTATTTATCGTTGATTATCTGGGCAACGGTTCACCCCGTTGATTTGATTTTATCTGTGTACATCCGACCCCCCCTTACCCCACCGTTGGTGGGAGCCTTTGCGGCACTGGGGTAATGATGATGAGTTATTTTTATTATTTTTGTCTAGGATGCGTTCGCCTCTGAAAGAAGGAAAGCAAAGATGCTTAATTTTTCTATTGCTTATGGAAAAACTACAGTGGGGCTTGCTCGGGATTGGAAGGTATCCAGACACATACTTTTCAAGAGCAAGAGAAATGAATAGATTTTTCATCTTGATTTGGTTTCTGGCACTTGGATTAACACCATGCATGCACTGTACGCGCAGGTATCCCTGAAGGAAGCTAAGAAAACTGTTGATAGATGGTATAGTAACAGGAAGGAAGTTTTATCTTGGCAAGAGCAACGTAAATCTGAAGCACATCAATTTGGATGTGTTTACACACTGTTGGGACGTGCGCGCTGGTTCCCTTCCCTTGAAAAAGCAAATTCCTTTTTAAAAGGTCACATTGAACGAGCTGCCATCAATACTCCAGTCCAGGTTTTTGTGTTAAAGTCCATTCTTTACCCTCCTTTCCATCTTAATTGTTTCTATATCTACTCTATCACTGACTATGCACTTTCTCTTTCTTACCTCAAAAGGGAAGTGCTGCAGATGTTGCAATGTGTGCCATGCTAGAAATTTCAAAGAACCGACGACTAGAGGAGCTCGGATGGAAATTGCTTTTACAGGTTTTCATTCAACTTGCTTCTTCAGTTTTTACTCCATGCATGCATATGCTCTAATCACTGAATTATAAAATAATAAGCTACCTGAATAATAAGTTACAAAATAATAAATTACAAATCATAAGGAAATGCTGGATGCCATTATAACTTTCTTACCTGAATCAATTGCGAAAGATTAAACCCATTGAAACATATGAAAACAAGTTTTTGCCACCTTTAGTTCTCCGAGTATTGTGTCAGTGAAACTTTTGGTACTTGACTTTGATTTTTCCAATTTTAGTTCTTCAACTTTGATTGGAGAGACATTTTTGGTTCTCGATTTTTGAATTTTCCCACATTTGTTCCTCGGACTACTGTAAAGTTGACACTTTTGATCCTTCAACTATAATCATAATGACTCTTTTAGACCTCAACTTGATGTGGAAAAATTATATTGGAAGGACTAAAAGTGTCGCATTGATAATAATAGAAAGTCAAAAATTAAAAAGTCACTTTTACAATAATCAAAGGATTGAATGTGTAAAAGTGCAAAGTCAAGGACCAAAAGTCGGACTAAAAGTGGAAAAATTTAAAGTCGAGTAGCAAAATTGTAATCAACACAATACTCGGAGGACTAAAAGTGTGAAAAACTAAAAAAAATGAAACATGATGTCATCTAACAAAATAATAATGAGTTGACTGGAATTAAGACTTCAGGTTTTGACTCAAAATGTCAACTTAGTTCAAATACTAGTCCAATGTTTATATGTGGGATTTGGCTGTTATGGGATAGTAAACTAGGTTGTCGTATTACCCATGTTTAATTGCAAGATGAATTGATATAGTAAACAAATTAACATGCATACCTCCCGCCCGACCCCATACTCTTTTGGGAATAAGGCTTGGATGTTATTGAAGAATGAAGTGATTCTTTGGTAACGTTATAAGGTTCACGATGAAGTGATTCTTGAAGGGCCAACAGAATCAGCAGAGGAAGCCAAGGCTATTGTAGTGGACTGTATGTCCAAGCCGTTCCATGGGAAGAATATACTTAGAGTTGGGCTGTCTGTTGATGCCAAATGTGCTAAAAACTGGTACTCTGCCAAATAGTATTCTCTAATCTACATCGCTTATGTAATTGTGATTATTAGCTTCTCAAGTTCATGGTATCTCTCCTTTATACATGACACACACACAAACTAATTCTCCGTTGAACCTATTTTCAAAATTGGGAGCAAGATACAAAATTAAAAACCTGAAATTACGGTCAGAAAAAATTGAACTGAGATTAAAATGAAAGAGCAACGTAGTGGAAACATGAAGGGCTGGGTAATCGACCGTTCGTGTGGTTTGCCTAACAGAGGTGACAGATGAAGGGTTTAGATATGAAATCGAATGGATTAGTTAGTTGTGGGCGGGTTCTCGAAAACGGTGGATGAATCTTGGCCATAATAAATGGTCTGACCAATTTGTGTGTATAAAGCACAAGGAACGCACAAGCACACGTATACTTGCATTTGCATTTGCATTTAGAATGTTAAATGCATGTTGATTTCTGAGAAGCAGTAGATCCAAACTATCCTTGTGCCCTACTCGGTTAAAGAGCCCAAGTGTTGTGCTCGACCGTTGTTCCATAGCCTCTGAAATAACTTTTAAATAATATCACATATCATACTCCGTAGACCGTACTACCTCCGTTCCTAAAAATACTTCCCGGTTTGACTTGACACGCTTATTAAGAAAGTGGAATATAATGGAAATATATGGTAGTAGTTGTGTAAGAAAACGATAAAAATGAATGCGAATCACACAAATTGTCCAAAAAGGGAAAATGTTAAGTATTTTTAGGTACGGCCCAAAAAGGAAAGTGAGAAAGGAAAGTGAAGTATTTTCAGGAACAGAGGGAGTATATACTAGCAACTGTTTTCAAATTTCAAGCATACATATACTAGAATAACATGGCGCTATTTTCTGACCTCAAATTCTGTCGTTCGCAAATTGCATCATCAAAAGGTTAAACTATAGCATTTAAATAAAGATTATTTGTTAGTTAAATTTGTATTTTGATAGGTTAAATAATTGGATGTGATGTAAAAAGATTTCCCGGTATTGTGTTTTAGTTATTTGTATGAGATGTGGACATGTGGTACTATTTGTTTCACATTGAGAAATCATACGTAGCATATAAAGGAAAAATAATCATCGCTGTTGCGAGATTGGTTCACTTTTAACTTCTAAAAAAAGTTTTGGCAGCCCGAGCACCCTGTCCATGTTACATATGTTGCTACCTTGGACCCGAATTGTTTGGTCTGGACTAAGATTTTGACAGCCCTAGACAGGGGTGGACCGGGCCCAGGTTGACCGGCCTGGCTTGACACTGTTCTGAACCGGACTGACCCGGTTGGCTGGGACCGAGACCGGGCCTTGGGCCCGACGGGGGGGGGGGGGGGGGGGGGTAACGGCCTTGACCCCTTCTGGAACAGGCCCGGCCGGTCTGGGCCCAAAAAGTTTTTTTTTTTTTTCAAATGCATTGGGTTGTAGGCGGGTTGGGGGTGTTTGGGGGTGGGTGGTAGGAACTAATAAGGAAAACCAAAAAAATAAATAAAAAATAAACATGACCCGACCCAGGCTGGTACCGGGCCTGAAGACCAAAAACTTTGAAGTTTGAACTGCCCGTGACCCTACACGAACTCGGTCCTGACTCGGGCCCGGTCCATCCCTAGCCCTAGGAGTGATGGTTAAGTATGGCAATGGGGCACTGTGAGGAACCGCCCCTTGGGGTGAGGATGGGGTGGGGTTTAGGGCAGGGTGGGGACGAGGATGGGGTGGGCTTTAGGGCAGGGTGGGGACGAGGATGGGTGGAATATTTATACCCCGTTAAAATATGGGGCGGGGGCGGGGATTGCTACACCCGCCCCGCCCTCGCCCTGCCCCATTATATATATATAAACTCATACATACATACATACATACATACATACATACATACATACATACATACATACATACATACATACATACATACATACATACATACATACATACATACATACATACATACATACATACATACATACATACATACATACATACATACATACATACATACATACATACATACATACATACATACATACATACATACATACATACATACATACATACATACATACATACATACATACATACATACATACATACATACATACATACATACATACATACATACATACATACATACATACATACATACATACATACATACATACATACATACATACATACATACATACATACATACATACATACATACATACATACATACATACATACATACATACATACATACATACATACATACATACATACATACATACATACATACATACATACATACATACATACATACATACATACATACATACATACATACATACATACATACATACATACATACATACATACATACATACATACATACATACATACATACATACATACATACATACATACATACATACATACATACATACATACATACATACATACATACATACATACATACATACATACATACATACATACATACATACATACATACATACATACATACATACATACATACATACATACATACATACATACATACATACATACATACATACATACATACATACATACATACATACATACATACATACATACATACATACATACATACATACATACATACATACATACATACATACATACATACATACATACATACATACATACATACATACATACATACATACATACATACATACATACATACATACATACATACATACATACATACATACATACATACATACATACATACATACATACATACATACATACATACATACATACATACATACATACATACATACATACATACATACATACATACATACATACATACATACATACATACATACATACATACATACATACATACATACATACATACATACATACATACATACATACATACATACATACATACATACATACATACATACATACATACATACATACATACATACATACATACATACATACATACATACATACATACATACATACATACATACATACATACATACATACATACATACATACATACATACATACATACATACATACATACATACATACATACATACATACATACATACATACATACATACATACATACATACATACATACATACATACATACATACATACATACATACATACATACATACATACATACATACATACATACATACATACATACATACATACATACATACATACATACATACATACATACATACATACATACATACATACATACATACATACATACATACATACATACATACATACATACATACATACATACATACATACATACATACATACATACATACATACATACATACATACATACATACATACATACATACATACATACATACATACATACATACATACATACATACATACATACATACATACATACATACATACATACATACATACATACATACATACATACATACATACATACATACATACATACATACATACATACATACATATATATATATATATATAGGGTGCGGTTCCGGTGCAAACCATGCTTCCGGTGCTAACCTACAAACTCATCACACCCGTCCCAATCTACAAATCAACAGCGGATAAAAGCCATCCACGATAATGTTCGGTGTGTTGAGATGCAGAGAACTTAAATTTTATGGGCTATTAAATTGCAGCGGTTAGTGAGGGAAGGTTACCAATGTCATTTAACATCTTAAAAACGGAGCTGCTACATAAATATGAAAAGAATACGGAAACAACTTACCACATATATTTTACAAATAATTAATGTAACCCACCACTAACGTCAAATCAATTAAGGTAACCCACTACTAATATTTACACCCTCATTTTTTAGCAAATTAAAAAAAGGTTGTGTAATTAATAAGAATTGGAGGAAGTTGAATCTTTTTTTATGGGGGACGAATCTCTATATACATATTAAGGTGAGATTTTGTTCAACAAAAAAGGTTGCATTATCATGGTTAGGGATGTGCATATTAAGGTTATTTGATGTGCATATTAAGGTGACAAGATGTGTATTTTTTATTTATCATATCTCCATAACTTATATTAGAACTACATAGTTATAAAATATATCGATGTTGCATTTTGGTGTTTCATATGTTGTATTTTATCACTATAACATGTTGTTTCATATATTACATTTTAGTATGAGGATATGTGTACTTTAGAAGTTCATATTGCATCTTTCCGTAATGGCATCTGCATTTTAATAGTTTATATGTGGCATGCATTTTATCATTATGACACATGCATTTTACAAGTTCATGTATTGCATTGTAGTAGTAAGATTCCATGTGCATCGTAGAAGACAATTTGCTGCATCTTATCGTTATGACATTTGCGTGATATTTCAATTGACATGAATACGAATATCATGGTGTCACATTATGCATAATATAAGAGAAACATGTTTTAAATGGTTTATTAGTAGAAGTGCATAATATAAGAGAAACATGTCACATTATACAAATATGCATTTTATCATTATGACATGTGCATTTTAGAAGTTCGTGTATTGAAATTTAGTAAAATGATATGTGCACTTTAATACTTCATATTGCATCATATCATTATGACATCTGCATTTTAGTAGTTCATATGGTGTATTTAATCATTATAACATGTACATCTTAGAAGTTCGTATATTGCACTTTGGTAAGATTATAAGTGCAGTTTAATACGATGGTGTGTGCATTTTAGAAGTTCATGCAATACATTTTAGTTAGATGTCATATGCATCGTAACAGTTCATATCATGCATCTTATCATTGCGATATATGCATTCCATATTCAAATGACATGCATACATAATTCAAGATATCACAGAATGCATAATATATGAGTACCATGTTCTAAATGGTAAAAAATAAGAAAAGAATTCATGCTGAAATTACAAGAAGTGTACAAACATATTTTTTTAAAATTGATATGAAAATGAGAGAAGAACAAATAAGTTAAAGAATATTTTTACAAAAGATATTCGGATGGCTTTTCCACATCATAATGCATATATATGAAATTCAAGAACTTCATTGTAATCCATGACTTTCCAGATTGTTGAATTGATATGGAAACCCATATCAAAATAAA